TGAGAAAAACATGAAATTATTCCTGTGAGGAGTCTCCAGAATGGTCGTCCACGTCGCTGTCTGCGGTCGTCGAACTGGAATAAAGACAAAATGGCCGCCTCCAGAACTCGGCATGGCGGCTTTAGAACCCTCTGATTGGACGTTTCCCACAGCAGCGCTCTCTGGGGTTTGTGGTCGACATCTCTCCTGACGTTCTCCTCGTTTTCACAGTTTGTTCTGACCCCGTCTCCAGTGGGCGGAGCTTAAGGGACAGTACTCGTAGTTGGCGATCTGGTAGATGTTCTCCACCGCTGAGCCCCGACTGTGGAGCTGCAGGGTGGACGAAGTCGAACTGAACTGGACCAAAGTGCTGATCTGCCGCTGAGGACTGAGACACAGAACAAAACACGGAGACTTATTTAACATGTGATGGACCAGCTAGAAGGTATTTGTTCCCAAAAACGTTCTGGAAAAGTTCTGCAAAGTTCTGCTAACATTGTCAGCGGAAAGTTTTCTTTTAGAATGTTTCCATTAAAGGTCTGACAACTAAAGACGTTCTAAAAATGTTTGGTGATAACATTGTTAGACCTTAACGTTCTCAAAACTGAGTGTTCCACTGTGAACGTTCTACTTTTGTTATCGTGTAACACTGCGGAACATTGTGGGAACGTTTTGTAAAGTCTTTAATGTGTTCCCACAACAACATCCCCAAAACATCCTGAGGACATTGCAGGCAGAACGTTCCATCATTGTTAATATATCACACTACAGGAACGTCTTATAAAGAACGTTCTGTCATCTGACATCTCAATAACATCTGGAAAACAGTTTTTGAATGTTGCATTGAGAACGTTCCTCCTTTCTTTTAACGGAACGTAATCTGTGTTCCTGACGTCCTCTGACTTTTAACAGTGAAACATTACATTAACTTTAAAGCAACATTACTGGAAATGAAAATGTTCTCACAATGTTCCTGGAACATTTGATTTAAAAAAACCTCAAAAAAACAAAAAAACATTCCCTTTAACACATTCTTAGAACTTGGTTCTCATCACTAATTCGCTGCTCGGCCGCTGTTCAACGGAAACTTGTCGTGTGGTTTGTGGTTTGGGAGGTCTTCTCTCATCGCTGAGTTTCAATCTGAAACCGTCAGCAGAAGGAGGCCGATCGACTTAAACCTAAAGCCGCCTGAAGGAAGTTTACCCAGAAAACATAAAGAAAAGGACTGCAGCTCACGATTACCTTTACTGCACATGGATTTGATTAATTGATAGTTTGGTTCATAAAATGTCAGAAAAAGATTTTTAAAAATATCAAACAGTGATTCAAAGTCGAGCTGTAAGGTGGTGCGGTAGTTAACACAGTTTGCGTCCCGATGAGGGTACTGGGATCTTTCTGCGTGGAGTCTCCATGTTCTCCCTGTGCAACGTGGGTTCTCTCCGGGTTCTCCGGCTTCCTCCCACACAGTCCAAAAACATGTTGAGGATAATTGGTGATTCTAAATTNATCAGTTACCATGGAAATCAAGCTGCACAGCATCAGTTACCTTGGAGATCTAACTGGTTAAAAGAGAGCCACATTTGTGACACTGAAAGCTCTGGCTTTAAGCTCAACATACCTCGCTAACCCATTAATCGCGCTTCGTAGGGCAGCCCTCAGAACGCAAAACAGCCTGTAACCACGACGACAAGAACAACACACTGACTGAATCGACCCATATTTGAATGGAGTTTGGTGTGGACAAGCCTCAGCTTTTTTACGAGAGTGAAACGTCCATTGCGTACACTCTTTCATGTCGTTGCAGCAGTCGCAGATCCTTGACGACCAATCACCTTCCTTGTTGGAAGTGTGCATTGCCTCAGGCTGCATGGACACCGGCCAGCTCATCCTCCACCTGAAGCTGCTTCACTCAGTCCAGCCTGACGGAAGTTAAATTAGCCATAATGTGAATGGAGTTTGGTGCAGATTCATATTGTCCTACATGTAAACAGTAAAATATTTAAATTGGAGTTTGGTGTGGATTTATTATAGCTGCTTAGAAAAAAAGACACGTCAAAATCGATTATTATTTCTTCAGACATGGAGACTGATGTTAAATGAGTAAATATTTGAATGGAGTTTGGTGCAGTCAGAAAATACATGAAAGGAAATGCAATAATATTCTACATGTAAACTGACTAAACAGGCAAATATTTGAATGGATTTTGGTGAAGACTGTTCTGAGGTAGTCATGAAATAATTCTGAACCTTAGTGTGGATTCTCAGCTGCTGCTCAGGAAATACATAAAAGCCACAACAGCTACAGTCATTTACAGTTAACGCTGCCGGAAACTATTACACAACATCACAGGTGCCTGAACAAACAACTGCCAGTAACTAAACAAACAAACAAAACCAAATAAAAAGCCTGCTGAGGTTGAATCAATCAAGGTTGCAAACTCAGTTGTCTGTTAGTTGATTTAAATTTAGGTTTGGATAACGCAATGAAACTAGCTTGAAAACTAGTCATCGACTAATTGTGGGAATAAAGTACACAACACTTCAACTTCATTTTTCAGCTTAAAAATGTGTTTACGCTGCCACTCATTAAGTAAATAAAAAATGCAGATTCCTGCAACTTCAGTTAGTTTGTTGGTTCAACTTAATTTCATTGGAAGTTGTCAT